GCAACCCAACTCGAAATCAAAATCTGCGTAGAGAGGTGGGCTGGAATTTGGGCAACTTTGTGAGATTAAGTGTTAAGGGGAACAATACGCAAGCCCAACAACTCCTAAAATCAACCACTCTCGGACCAGCCGCTGACGCGCCCTCAATGCCCACCAGACGGCGGAGCGCTCTTCGAGGGCGACCAGATCCTCAGTTGACCCCAGAGTCCTGCTTTTACGTGGCGTTTCTCTTTCCCCAAGGGCCCTAGTACAGGTTTCACAATGGTGTAGAGTTTAGGGGCTTCATAGGGTGGAGTATCAAGAATTAATGTTCTTGGTACCTATACTATAGAGTACATATTATGACACAAAAACATCTACATAGGAGCCTTTTCAAAACCAAAGTATATATAGCATGTGTGTTCACGGACATTAGGAGGGCTATACTTTAATTCCGCTATAGAGAAGTAACTTGCTATCCGTGTCAGAGTGACAGCCATCGTTTCGACCTGCCTAAACTCTGAAGATATGGTGCGTATGTATACAGTTAATAAAGTAACCAGATATGTATGTGTGTATATATATATATATGTATATGTACATAAACGAACCAGGATATAGGTTCTCGACAACATAACCCAGCGTCATATACAGGAGCAGAAATACGTCTGCATCAGGTGGTGGAGTGAGCATAGAGCGAATAAACCAAACCGTAGTAACATCCTGTTTAAACAGCTGCCTCATGCTGACATACACCCCGTGCTTCCTGCAGTGAAATATGTGTAGTCACGTTCACATTCAATGGTTGTCCGGCAGCACAGTGAAGTAAAGGACACACGAAGTACTGCGTGGCCGTATACCGTGACATAACATCAGATGGCTGATGCTGAGGAAGGTCAACGGGACGTTCTCAACACACAGCAATAGCATGACAACCGGGCGTACGAACGGGAATCCAGGGTTTTGGAATTGTTATTCCGACAACTAAAAATCGTGTCTGTGGAGCGTCAGTCAGCGCCTCTTCTGCATCAGAATCCCGGCCGTCTCGAGAAGCCTGGAAAGTGAGACAACAGGGCAGGGTCTCACATGCCTATCCCAAAGGGTCCTAGGTACTGTTATAGGGGATACTTTCCCAAATCATACTAGCTATTCCTAATATAGAAACCCTACATTATACTATATAGGTACATTGGACTCTTTGGGTATCGAGGAACGAACCTGTGTTTGCTTCGTATAGTACTCACAGGCCAGGAGAAACATGGGCACGGAAGCCACTGGTACCGGCGGGAGCCGAACGAACTACGATAATTCCATAGCTCTGGTTGGCCCAAAACCCAAATCCCGAAACTTTGCCAGGAATTCGGCCTGGATGACAGCGGCTGCCAATGTGCACACATCTTTCCCGGCCATGGTCGGCGGCTCCGGGTTTAGGGATACAGGGTGTTGGGGTTGAGGCGCTTGGCCGAAACGAGATAGTGAGGACCATAATCAACTATGAAAACACTTGGGGGCCTTCACAACTAGAACTGGTCTTTAGTAAGCTACCCGATGGATGAACATGCATGTATGCAGATATTTACACTTTTATGCGTACCTGCATACAGACATTTGTTCAGGGATCCATGTTACGTCCGCGGTTAGTTGAGATGCCCATCGTTTCTGTCAGTTTCCTTTGGTGAAATTTAGATCTGAAATCAGCATCTAGAGTGCTGGCATAGACTCGCACGATCTAACACTACACCACAGACCATGCAGAGCAACTGCGAGCGTCCTCAAACACGGGGACCCTCACATAATTTCCTAAAGAAGCCACCCCTAGGCAATTTCTGTCGCTATGGATGTGGGAGTTTCCGAAAATAGGGGACCCTAATATAGCACCCTAAACAGTAGGATCCTGATTATAAGGACCCCAAAATAAAGGATCCCTAATTTCCGGAAACTCCCATGTAGGCATCGTTTTCGCCGAGCTGAACACGACTGAGCCCGTGGCAGCAGAAGCGTGTACTCACACGGCCCCTACCCCGCAGATTGAGGCTCCGAACTCCTGCCTTCTGTGTAAGGTCCCTACCTTAAGAACCCAAAACCCACTTTTTTGTGGGTTCTTATTATAAACCCTAATATGGGATTTATAGGGACCGTATATACCAAACAGATATTAAATTTTGTAGCAAGTACCCGCAAAAAAGTAGGTGACGGTAGTGAAATTAAGGTAAAATACATTGAGTAGGTAAGACGTCGAAGGGATGCGACGCGTGTGATGCTCTGAACAAGAACGATAACATTGGCTGATCTGTTCTAAACAGCTTTCCGACGCTCATGCACAATTCCGGCCAGGCGCCGCCCCCTCAGTCCGCAAAGGTGCCAATTGGAACTACGATAACAATTGGACTCTTTCGCCACAAGCTTGGATATAGAAGCGAAGGAAGACAAAGACGTGGATTTTCATCTCCATCTCCCAGGCAACGAAAGTCGCGGCCTGACCGGCCAGGTGTGGACAAACCCGTGCATGCTAACATCCGGGGTCCTAAGACCTTTAACCTCATGCCCTGCTGGCTTTTGATCTGCTAACTCTGGGGCCCTGCTTGCCTTGCAGCATTCGTGCATCTGTTCCTTTGTAGGCACAACCAAATACATGGAATTATACTCTGTGCAGGGGCATATGTCTCTGGCTATGCCTGTCACTCGTCTCCGATTCTTGTAGGCCTTCCGTGAGCTGTACGTTGAAGAAGCCTTTGGGTCACCGAGTTCCGTGATCGGCCCATACTATCCTATGTGACCAAACAGTACCCGGTTGAAACCCAGAAGAACCTGCTCTTAAGCGCACCCCCTATCCATACAACGTGGCCACTGGGCCGCACTGCAGAGTCTTCCGTACACCATTTTTGCCATTCCGTCCTGGATGGACCAATGACGAGATGGTTTGTGAAGGATGTGCTCTGTGCTTGCTCTGTACAAAGCAGCAGTGCATCGATCCGTGGACCGTCGTTGCTAAGATTGATCCTGCCAACCCATCCTAGGGCTCCAGTGACTTACAGAGAAGATTCTTTCCCCTATAATTTGCAACCCAGCAACCCACTATTTAGGTAACTAGAGCCCTAGAGCAAGCTTAAAGAATTGCCAACACAACTCGACTTGCTCAAGTTGCTAAAACGTCGTTAAGTCCTGGGTGTTGACCGAGTTTGCTGCGCAAACCTGTACGGCTCCAAGACTTTATGTCGGGGAAGAACGGATTGTGAGACGCCGCAGGCGCTCGCGCCCACGGAAGCAAAACAGCCAACATATGACAAACGAGCAGAAGCACCAGAGGAAACATGCCAGCATGCCAACAGCTCGTGCCAGTGTGGCAAGCTCATCGCCGGCATAGTACAGCCCGAAGAAAACCAGGAAGATGGCCATTGACCAGGCGAAGTCGCACATGCCAAGCCTCCTAGCTGAAAAGCGATCGCAAAGATAGAGCGTCAGCTTCACGCAGGGTAGGAACCAGAAGAACTCCAAACCAAAAGTTCCACCCACAAGCTGCTTCACTACGACCTCCACGGGAGCACCGCCAGCCCAAAGAGCTGACAGTGTGGTGAGGCTGGAGCTCATTGCACCCAAGATGATGAGTAGAAGATACGGCAGGGGCATGTTGGGCATTCCAGAGCTTTTCAAGAGTTCAGACCTCAGCGGCCCACGGACATAGGCCGTGAATGCCTCCTTGCTACCATACCAGTGTAGAATGCCTGAGATGATGAACTGACGGTCGAAGTCCGAAGTGCATTGGGCCTGATCCAAATCGAAACAGTCCAGCTCCGACACCAAGCGATGCTTCGTGCGGACGTGAAGGCGCATGAAATGCACGACGACAATGGACGGGGAGATCCTGGAAATAATAGACACAGCACCAACTAAAGCTTGGAGTCTTGGGTTTATCAGCAGAAAACGGAGCTGCTCTACAACCAATATATTCCTGCTGTCTAGTATTTTGGCTTCGAGTAAAGTGGGTGCGTACTCGGCACAACCGGACCAACCAATGTTCTATATGCTGCATAAGGCGTACCACTGAGCAGTCTTGCATGGCACTGTATGCATCACTACAAAATAAGCAGTTGAGAAATAAAAGAAAGTGCATATATGTATGTATGTATATATATATATATATGAAAAATAAATGAATTAAAAGATGTGGTGTGTATATATACCTTATATGATAATAAATAAAAATGAGTATATCTCTATTAAAAAGTCCATATATATATATATATGTTATAGGTATACATATACAGATACATGGTAGACTAATAAACAAACAAACAAACAAAAGCATAAACCATTGCGTAAGTATATATATATAATATGCCTTGAGTTCATGCATGGAAACGGCAAGGTGCGCTATGCCCCAGCAGGCCAGTCTCAGGCCAGAGTGGAGATTCAAGGCAAATGTCATGAAGAACACAAAGCCGATCAGGTAGGTAAACAAAATGACCACCTGCCGCCACTCGCTCCCCTGCCCCTCCAATCCCTGAGCCCCCAAAACATGACGAATTTCTGGCTTATGATGGTCGTAGGCAAGCTGACCGAGCCCGCTAACCGTACAAATGCAATCAACCAAGACGCCAGCAGGCCCACTTCGATGAAGATGGGGGTCAGTCTGATCCGCCCACTGGGATTGCTTATCCGATAGGCTGCCAGCTCAAAAACGCACCACAGACGAGACCTCAGTCGCGGGGCAGGTGCGGATAAGGGCTTTCCATCGATAAAAACCGGTATATACGCATCTAGATCTGTCTGCTGGAGATTCGCGGGTTGGTTCGTCGATGTGCCTATTGGTCTGTACGCAATACATCACACTTACACACAGAAACTGCCGGGACTCCGACCAGGGTCCTTATATGTCATAATGCATGCCGCACCCTTGCAAAAGCAAAACCAGAAGACCGGCACAGCGAAGCCAACATCGTGGCTGCATGCTAGGCTTGGCTATGGCTTAGGGTTTAGGGTTTCGGGCTCCCTCAACCCTTTACTTATCCTCGAGTGGCTACAGAGGGACTGAACCGAAGCGGAGCAAACAGAAAAAGGTCGACATCACATCGTCGAGGCTTAATCTAGACACCCATTGCACAGCTCCTTCGGAAACTCCTCTAGCACCTGAACCGAAGCATTCCTACACCCTGAACCCCTGAATTTCCGAAATCAGGGGTAGAGGGTCTACCTCAAAATTGTGTTTTGACGTGGGATGGCCTACAACACCGACCAAAAGGATCCAAACGCAGAAATCCAACAGCCCCCCACAAGGAATTCCGCTGACACATCTACAGTCGAGGTAAGAAACGGCTATCGAACTCTGCAACCCTAAACTAAATGACGGTTGCCAGCTCGGGGCATTTTGGCGAAATACCGCTGCATCTATGTCCATGCAAAATCGGGACCCCAACCATCAACTCATAAACCAACAAGCTTGAGCTGAATGTGCAGCTGAAGCCTTCACACTCACGGGAGCGTGAATTGCAGCATTTAACAAGGAAGCTGATGTCTGTGTATGAGCACTTTTGTGTCTTTTCCTGAACGTGGCCTTCTAACAACCTTCGCCAAAGCTTCCTTTCACTTTGCTGGCAGCTCTGAAGAGCCTCGAAAGCCTTTAGGCGGCCACGCTCTTTCGACAGCCATCGAGGATGAACATCCCCAAAGGCTTTCCTACGGTCTTCCCAGGCATTTCTGGAACCAGTTTAACACGGACAAAAACGCGCTTTTCCTTTGCTAAGCCCTTGCACTAACCGTCACTAACCCTTATTATAGTACCCCTAAACCCCAGACTCAAACTCTCTGTGTGTGTGCGTACAGAGCTACAGCAACTCTTAATCTGCCACGGATGCTTGGCCGACAGACCCTAAAACCCATGTAAGCCCGAAACCACGCTAAATCTGAACCCCTTCTGAGCTGCTGGCAGATAAGCACCGCTCCACAGGACTTGCAGCTCTCCAGAAACTTGCAAAAATCCTCCGATTCCATAAACCCCACGCTCCATGAGGACCTGGGTGCGCAGGGCTTAGGGTTTCTGGGGTGGTAGGGAGTTGGGTTTCGGCGCTCACACGCAGACATGCCAGTCGAGGTTCTTGTTGCGTAGTCGGTTGGAGGTGACTGCTCAACAAACATCCCGACTCAAGACAAAGAGTGTTTGAAGAGGAATCCCGTATCAGGGAATCAAGTGACGATATGCGGGGGCCTACACAGCAGGGCGCCGGTGTTCCTTTGTGAGACCTGCATGCTTTTGCCAACTCTGGGCAAGCGAATATCCAGCTACAGATTACAAACACAAAGGTGCGCGAGTGTGCTTGCGTGCATTGAGTCAACTTATCTGAAACATGTGTTTTTGCCTCCTTCGCAGGGACGAGCCCGTATGGCTCTGAAAGATGTGGGGGTTTAGGGTTTAGGGTTCAGGGTTTAGGGGTTCAGGGTTTAGGGCAAGCAGTTTGTGATCCGGGCAATGCTTGCCTTGAAACTCAAACAGAATCGGACAGGTGCCAGGACCTCAGTGTTGAGGCTTCTCGGTTCTCTAGTATACTGGGAGTCAGGATCAAGGGGACTTTTGCCCTCAGAAAGGTCCCTTGTAATTAAGGGAGCCAGAAGTAGGCTGAAGAAGCGTCCCGTTTAAGGGGTTTCCCTAACACTAAATAGGGTATACAGGGTCGTTGAATCTATTCGTGCCCGGGGGTGCTTTACGAATACATGACACATTACCTCAAAGGGTCCTAAGTACCTACATAGTTGAATGTAGGGTTTCCTAACTATTATGATTTGGGGAAGTATCCCCCCATAGCAGTACTTAGGACCCTTTGGGTAAATGGAATTAACCACAACCGTAAACCCTAAACCCTAGCTATGCTAAGCCGTACCTACCCACGCAAGAGAGTAGAGTCAGACATCTAAGACTTTGCAGGCCGCGAGCCCCAGCACAGAATTTAACAGCTTCGGAAGTTCCTGGTTGGTGGGCTTTGGCTTAACGTTTGGACTGTCACTCTCGCACCCAGCTGGCCATGATGCGCGGGTTTAGGGTTTAGGGGAAATCCATCAGTGGATACCGATCTCTGCCACATCCCGCATCCCTCTAAACCGCGACTTGGACCTCGAAGGCACAAATGATGGCAGTTCTGCATCCATGCAAAGGCCGTGTGCAAATATGGAAAGTCTACCCAGCAAGTTCCACCCAACTGAGCGCCGGACAGGATCTGCCTGATTTATGCTTGCCACATCAATGAAGCAAGTCGTCTCTCTGCCGCAGCGGTCCGGTACATAGGGGGATGCGAGAAGGGCAATGATCCTTGTGTCAGCGCGAGTCCACCACGGACTAAAGAAGCCGAAGCGACATGCAACCCCTCTTTGCCCATCAAGCTGCAAACTCAAAGTGTAAAGTCTAAAGCTATACTCTGTTGCAGAAGCTAGGATCGAACTGAGCAAGCCTGCAGCCAATGGCCAGGGCGCAAATGGGCACTCCGCTTGAAACTCCGGAAGGTTTGAATAATATGTGAAAGGCATTGGGAGTATCTGTGTGCTGCTCAGGACCACAGTCGCAGCAACGCAGATCCAGCTGCAGGCCAAAGAGAAGTGAGAACCGGTCTGGAAGAGAAGCGACAGCACCTTCCACCTGACATGAAATTGCTGTACACTTGCATGCAGGATCCTAAGTTTCTCAGGCTTCCTGGGGCACGTGCCGGCCAGCCGTCCGCCATGTGTGGGAAATGAAGGTGTTGAACGTGCGTGTTGGTCGCGAGAGGGACCATAGCTTTCGTTGCTCCTCACATACGTGGCTGGGAAGCTTCAGAAAACAGGCACTTTCCATATGGGTGGTTGTCAAAATTATGGTCCCTTTTTGGGTCCTTATTATAATACGGCACCTATTATTTAGGGTACCCCAAAAGGGACCATAATTTTGACAACTACCCATATGACATCCTAGGTTGCATGTAACGACCGCGCAGTCAGGGATCACTACCCGATTTCTCACGACCAGTTATAGCGAGCCGGGATCCCCCACTCTGGCACAGGCTGTCCTCCCTGTCCATGTGCGTGGGTGACTGTCGCCACAAGCTTCCGAAGTTGTGCAGAGATTCACGCAGGGAAATTCCACGTGTCAGCTCTGCATCCACCTGCGCCACGATGCAACCCATCAGCCGCAGCATTATCAGGAATGGTTCTGCAGAGGCCGGAATCTAGAAGTGTTGCTTATATGCCATGCCATGAACATGACTTGCTTACATAAGCTCTTCGTCGCAAGATGCCTCCAAGTGAGTGTTGCCCGCCAGTCGGCCGAACTTGCTGAGAATCGATAGCTCCGGAACGAACACATCGGGTTCCGAAGACTGCGAGGCCTCGACCTCGAACTGATCTCCCCTGTTCCTAGCTACTAATTCTCGGGCATCTCTAAGAGGAACTAGATACAAGCTTAGCCTTTGGGATTGCGTAAGGATTATGCCCCAGAAGGTTAGCTTGTGTCTTATGACTTAGAATGCAACTCTCCTGGGAATGACATCTGGAAAATCTGGTTCCTTGTTTTTGAGGCATTGCCAGATGCTTCGATAATTCTTAATGTGAACATGCTAAGTACTGTAACATACTGTAACCATGCTTTCTGCTGCTACTTCTGCTACGACTACCATCAATATTCACGACGATTTCTGACTGTCTACATTCCACATGACTTCAGGCATGTCGGCGTTGCACACCACACCTCTGAGTCGTGCCAGATTATCGTTTAGCTACTGGTTGAAGCTGACAGCTAAGAGTAATGCGGCCGTGAGCTTGGCCTGACGGTTTCAGATCACTCCCTGCAAGCAACCACCATTGGTTTTTCCCCAACTGGCATGGGTTTAGGGTTTAAGGTCATGACCCGTCTGTGGACCGCTGAAACAAGGAATACGTGAAGGCTCTTTTTGCTCGAAATACACGACATTCTCTTATACACAAAATGACAAGCACTGCGAATACCAGTGAGTCTGATTGCCGCTAACCGTACATGTGTGGGCCATGTAGGATCCTCCACGCACCTGAACCCGATGCGCGAATCTAGTAGCATACAAGTACGAGGCGTGGCATCTTGCATCTATCAGTATGTTTTCAGTTCGATCTCATCAACATTCAAGCAGCTTCTTCAGGACGGTCATCTTCGTATTCGTCCAGATCTGCCAGTGCTCGCTTGGATGGCACGAAATCGTCGGACGGTTTCTCTTCTTCATCGCAGCAGCAGCTGGTGGTCTGCCCCATGGCTCAGCTACGGCCGGCAGCTAAAACAAACGCTGAACCCAAACCCGGAAGCGGAGCCTGTTTCTCTTAGACACTGCACCGGAGGCAAGCGTCCCTGTGTCACCAACTTGAGCTTTGATCTGCTGTATCAACCTACGAGCTGGGCTGATCCCAGCTACCAATCAGCGCCACTCTGCCATGCTCGCTTCTAGTTTGCTGGTATAACAACCCCTATAGTGCGCGTCTCGCTCCCCCACATCCTGGACAAAAAGGTGAAACGGCCAGCCGAAACCAATGCACAGCTGGTGTGAAATTAAGGACGTGATCATGCGCCGACGACAACAGTAACAGTTTCGTGACACGGGCCTGAACCATGACAATGTGATACCGCTCGTGCAAGGAAGCTCTCTTTACGGAAAGAATGCTGGCAGCAAAGATCGGCATTAACCACGTTTGCCGGCGATATCCCAGAAAATGAACTCACGCTGTCCCAAACACACCCAGCGGTCGTGGTCGCAGATTGCTGGGCACGATGTACAGCTGCACCCTAAATCCTAAACCCAAGCCTCAACTTTGTGCGCGCGCACATACACACACACACACACCCGTGCCCGAAAAAGCTTATCCTTGCCGGCCTCAACGTAGTCCGGGAGTCCGGTCGATGTCGCAAGGACGCCATGCTGTCATCAAGAAATCTACTACTACTACTACTACTACTACTACTACTACTACTGGTACTAGTACTAGTGCTACTAGTACTACTCTTACTGGTACTGGTACTAGTAATAGTACTACTACTACTACT